TGCATGGAGGTGTTGGTCCTGCTTTCTTCCCTCTTGGCTGTGGAGACTCATCCCGTTGCAGGCTCCAGCACCTTCTCTGCACTGATGCCCCCCGGTGTCCACGCAGCCCAGACCTCTTCCCTGGACCCCAGATCAGTCAACTGTCTGCTGATACAGCCCCTGGGATTTCTAATAAAAAAAACCTTGAGCTTATACACAAAATGGAACCCCGACCTCCCAGACCCACGCCTGCAGCCGTCTCCATCTCGCTGACAGCCAAGCACCCCGCCTCCAGCGGAACCCCTTGTCGGGTCCTGGACTCTCGTTTTCCGCACACCCCACACCGTTTTCAGGATGGGTGCCGCCTTCAGCGTAGACCCGGAATCTGACCTCACCACCCCCTTCACGCCGTGGCTGGTGGTTTCCCTGTTCCCACCTCTGTCCTCCCACCACCCAGCAACCAGGTTATTTAAAGATATGAGCGAGCTCTAGCGGGTTTGCTCAGTGGATAGAACATCGGCCTGCGGACAGAAGGGTCCTAGGTTCGATTCCGGTCAGGAGCACGTACCCAGGTTGTGGGCTCGATCCCCAATATGAGGTGTGCAGGAGGCAGCCAATTAATGATTCTCTCTCATCATTGATGTTTCTATATCCCTCTCCCTCTCCCTTCTTCTCTGATGAATAAAAATGTATTTTTTAAAAAAGACATGAGACCACAGCACTGCCTGAATCCAAACCCTCCAACGCACCCCCACCTCTCAGCAAAAACCCAAGTCCCTACAGAGGCCTACGCGCCCCTTTCCTGCTGCTCTGCCCCCTGCAGCCACGCTGGTCCTGCCCCACCTGCAAAGCTGTACCCCCCTGCCCCCCCATCTCCTTGAAGGCCTCCCTCCCTCAGTCTAACCTGACTCCACGCCTGCTCCTCAGCGGCCTGCTCCGCTGTCTGACCTCCCACTTTCTAACACACCATATAACTTTCCGTTATTATTATTGTTTTAAGGTCTGTCCCCGCGGGGAGGATGCTGGGAGAAGCACGGATGTTGCCCATTCGCTGGCTGACCCCCAGCATCTAGATCAGCGCCCGGCATACGGGCCTCACAGTAAATGGTCCGTTGGATGAACGGGCAGGGCTCACCCGCAGGAAGGACAGCTGGGCCTGGGCAGGTGGGAATGGATGGAGGCAGGGGGTGAGGGTGAGCTGCACCAGGGCTGCCGGAGGGCGAGGGCAGGACGGACTGACGGACGGACAGAGCACTGGAGGGAGGGGCGCGCAGGGAGGGGAGCTGAGGCCCAGGCCGGAGGGCGCAGGGGGAGGCGGGGAGAGTTGGAAGAGGGAGCCTGCGGGGTCCAGCAGCGAGGGGGGCCCAGGAGAGGGGAAGGG